ATATGTTCTTCTTTGTGTGTTGTTTTCCAGTTCTCGGCCGGACAGCGCCCCGGATGCAGAACTAATTGAGGGTTAGTAAATTTTCTCTTTTATCTGGACCATATTCTGATTTAATCATTCTGGAAGATTTGTGACAATTTACTGAAGTCGATTCATTTTTCTTCATTCTTCTCTCGAGCCCACGTGTTGTCTGTCACAAGTCTCATCAGTGCTACCTGTCATCCAGCACATCGCTTCTGTATAATAATAATAATAATTTCAGATTGCTCCATATTCGAATCTCGATAGAACGATCTCTAAAACGAAGAAGGTTTTTGATTTACTTGTGGACGCAAAACTACCGTTATGCTCAAGCCAAAGCAGGTGAACTTTCTCGGGTTTATTTCCAACCAGTGTCCAGTCCATGGAATAATACGCGTTTCGGACGGGGTCATGCTTCCAAGGCGCCCACTACACCGATACCCAATTGAGCCGCGAACCAATAATGTGTAGGTTCGTATGCTTGTTCGAATGAAGGCTTTTGGCCATGTGCCGAAATTCACCGATCCTGATGTTGGCCCTTGATGTGAGAACATCTTTGCCGCATGAAAGCAGTGACTAACGCTTCCTCAACAGAGGCTGTTTAAAACGCTTAGTCTTATGGCAGCATTTTGCTAGATGCGAAGCCAGCACCATTCTCGAATGATAGATCATTAGCAAAGCGCTGGACTTCAACAGTCAATGGCTCAAAACTTGAATGGTTTTTGAATCACTGCCCATAGAAAATCCATTGCTACACCTCACTAAATTAATTAGCATTTTGTATTTCAGACATTTATGCTCAGTCATCTGTATTGGTAGGATTGAAAAGCAGTCACGTGACAGTAATAGTGGACATATTCATCTAAGGCATCAGGAAGTGATGGATAACAACTTTAGAGACTTTTCATCTTCGTTTTTGATTGAGCAAACTTCTGATCGTCGTTTGCGTAGCGTTACGTTCATTACGAGCTACATTATGTTATGTTTGATAGCTGTCCGTTTCCTGATCAACGTTGAACTTTCTACGGTGAGTCCTACAAGGGAATGTTCCTTCCATAGTTAACGGCAATGATGGCTCGGGTGCATTCACACACATCATTATCCCATCCATCCCTGTCCGTCATGCTAAGTGGTCGACGCACGTGGCTTGCCCAAAGCGTTGAACGATCAGATACACTCACAAACCCAATCCGTGCCCTCTAATTGCCTCTAAGTGACATGTAACTTGAAACTAATTATGCAATAACCGGTGAAAATTCAGCCTAGAGAGCCATAACGTTGTCCCCTAGTTGCTCATGTTTCCTTCTCTTCATGGTCATTGAAACAATCGACTTTCATCAATCATCATCAGTGTAGCAGATAATTTTTCACTGAGATCCCCTTTTATTTATGTTTCTCGTGCTCTCGTTTGTTTGAACTTGTGAAGGGTAAAACAGAGTTCAAGAAATCTCAGGAAAACCACCCACTCCAGACTGCCCAGATCGATCAAATTTGGTCAGATGATGATGATGATGATGATTATACAACGGACTGTCGTGTATCGGGAAATCAAACCAATTTAGATTATGCCTTTATCTGAAGTCGTCGGGTAACCGCTTTGTGCGGTTCGTCGGTTTTTTACGGGAAATAACGATCATGTATCTCTGAGCCAGATTATAACGATTGTATGGTTTAGGAACTTGCGGTATGCAAGGATTGTAACCCGGTCTACTAGCGGATTGTTCCAGGCCTCTATTTTTGTACCGCATCTGTTCATTGACCTCCCGTTCCTGAATGATATTCCTTCACACTTCTTTTCCTCATCCATGACTGATTTGATCTCACCTGCTATTTCTCAATCTTGCACTCATACCCGTGTAGTTAGATCTGATGTCCCTTAGCCGCGTTCAATGTTCGCAGACTCTACCAGATCGGTCAACAAGCTGCCGTAGCTAGAACCCTTGAAACTGTCAATTTGTATATACGCTGTCTCCGAAACACGTTTACAAAATCCTACTTCCGTTATCTTCCTGCGTTCTCCTCATCCAACCTCGACGTCACGCTTCGTGTGTCAGGCTCAAAACACAAACGATGGATCTCGTCGACCTCGGCTGCCTTGCTGGACGCCCGCAGAACCCTTACCCCTGATGCCATATGTGACAGTGCGTAAATCCCTTAAATAACAGCTCATCAAGAGTCTGAGGAATGATCGCGAGAAGTGATGGATAGAAAAGTATGAAGAGATGGAGAAAGCTGCGGCCATTCGTAATAGTAGCAATCTTTTCCGTCTGATTAGGAATACGGGCCCCAGGAAAACAGTCGTAAGTAGGACTCAGTTTAACTAGGTTCCATCTACATCTGACCTATCAACCCCACCTCGACTGACAGGTGACAGGTGCTCTTGTGAAAACCAGCGAGGAATTGATTGAATCAGTATCATCTCTAAACTTCTCGCTGGTATTATACTCCGCGGATTGTCTGCCGCACGAGAACGGTGCTCATTTGAAAACCAGGTTGATTTAAGACTTAGTCGAGGTTAAATCCACCACATTCTTACTCTTCTCAAAATTCTGGAGCATCGACATTCCTTTCGTAAATCGACCATCTCTGTTTTCCTCAGTTTGAAGACAGCCTTCGACTCAGTCGACCGCTCTAAACTCTGGCACTGCTTTCAAAGGAGTGTCCGAGAAGCTTATTTCAATACAAGAATCCCTTTATACTAATAGCCGAAGTCGAGTCCGAGCTTACGGCACTTTTTCGACCGAG